ACAACAAGCAAAAAGCAAAATACAATATGTTGAACATGTCGATCCACCAAAACAAAAAGACGAAAAACAAAAAACAGAAGAAGAAAAAAAGACCAAAAAGGATGAAAAATAAAAAGTTGTTTATTATACATTTAATGTGTTTTTTATTTCAAAATTTGTAATAAAAAAATAAAAATTCGAAATAAAACCATAATTATTAATAATCATTAAATTTATTTTATAATAATAACAAAATAATAATAATTGTTTATACTATTCAATATTATTAAATTGAATAATTATTTTATTTCACCATAATTTAAAAATTAAATAATTCGAAACTATAGCAATTAACAAAACAATATTTAGCTATTAATTTATAATTACAATTATTAAGACTATAATAATTATTTATTAATAATAACTTATTGGTAAAATTATAGTTTCTTATACAATATATTTGATAAATATTAAAAAATAAAAAAAGTGTATAAAAAACGTCCATTGTATTCATATGACGTTTTTCTTCAATTTTTAACATTTAAATGTCTAAAAGCCAAATAACCTTATTAACAACAAAAAAATCGTTTTGACTATTTTATAGAGCACAAACGTTTTTGAAGTGTAGTTAATTGTTTTTGTCTGTCAATAAAAAGTTTAGTTTTTTGTGAGTTAATTAAACTGTTTTGTTTTCTTCTTATTTATCAATCAATGAAAATTGTATTATTCTACCACTATATTTGGTAAATTATCCTTTTTATTTATATTTATTAACAAATTGAAAAAAATGAACATTTTTGACCATATCATAATTTAAATAAACTTATTAGACAACATAAAGTAATACGAATATATAAACATAAAAATTGTAAAATAATTTAAAAGATAAAGTAAAAATAGTACATTTTATACTAAAATATTTAAAACAAATCAATAAACAACAGAAGTATCTTCAAGTAATTCTAAAATTTTTTCAATAGTAATTCTCAACTCTGGTTTATCACACCAAGACTTTTCTATTATACTAAAATATTTGTGTGGAATATGATATAAGTTGACAACTCTTTGTCCTTTAATTACAAACTCTGCTATTTTCCAAGGAAAAGGAAAAGTTTCTTTGGGATAGATGTTACCCCACCCAAAGCACTCGAACATAGAAACAGCAAAAGAATAAATATCAGCAGGTTTCTTGTATTTCTCTTGTTTTAAAACTTCAGGAGCCATATATTTAGGTGTACCTATTCCAGCAGTGAATGTCATATTAGTCATCAGTAAATTAATGTTTCTTGCACTCCCAAAGTCAGTCAATTTAGCATTAACCTTTTCGTTTATATTCAATGAAAATATTAAAATGTTATCGGG